CCAGGTTCTATGGCTTCCACTGACCTTTAGTTTGGGACATTTTACAGCCTCTCTCTGGGTGCCCCTCTGATTTGAAAGTAGTGGGCTCTGGAATACCAGCCCCTCTCCATCACCACACACAGTAGTCAACAGGGGAGAGCGCACTGCCCCAGGAGACAGAAGCCAGCCCACCTGGAATCTCCCCATTCAGCTAGAGGATTGAGAATTCTCAAGCTGCTTAAGCCCTGCTTCCAGCATCACCCAGACTTGCCCAAGCATCTACTGCATGTGATAAAGTCTTCGCCAGTTCTTTCCCAAGTCCCTTCCCACTCCCCATGTGCATGGTACTTGGTGGCACAGCTCCATGGGCTGTCATTCTCATCAAGTTTGCCAGGACATGCCTGGAATGACATCCAAAACTATCCCAGCCAGATGGTCTGGGGCTGTCTGCTTGGTCTTCTGCTTCAGCCACCAGCAGCCTTGGACTGACCCACGACTCCCAGTACTACCCACACTGCAGTGTGTGGCTATGAGCCCCCAGCCTTGAGAGACAGAATACATTTTCTGGCATTTGCTCAAGCCCTCCATGGAGCCCATGGGCCTCATCAGTTAGCAGCAAGCATTATCCTAAAGGAGCTGCTGATCTATGAGGCTGTGGACATTTACAACAGCTGTTGGAGCCATCACTGTAATCAAGGGGTAGGGGTGTGCTTGAATTCATAGGAATGTAATTGTGAGAATAACTTTTTGTAATAAAGCTAGCCATATAAAGTTCTGATATGTAAGCCAAAGGCAGCCTTCTCAGGCTATTGGTTTCTTCCCAGAAATACCCACTCCACCCAGTTGGACAACACTTAAATCACAGCCTTAGTGGTCTTTAGAAGAAAGAAGCAGTGAATTAGGTTCAGTTGAAGATATAGGAAGGGAGATCCAGAGGTACCCTGGGTAAGCAGGGATTGGAAAACATAAAGATCTGAGGATGTAGGAGTCTGAGCCTTTCTTTAAATTTGGCTGGAAGAGGAAATAGAGGAGTCTTCCAGGACCCAGGCTGGAAATGTCAAGGACTTGCATTAAGCTGGAAGAGAACAAAGTGCCCAGGGGTTGGGGGTGGCAGGGTGGTAATTGGTAAGGGGAGCATATTTATGTGGGAAGTTAGTGTGTGTTGTGTGAGCTGTGATTCTGGACAGAAAGGCCTTATAACAGGAGCCTACATGCACCTCCACACTTCATTCCTGACCACTTGCCCCAGCTCTGCTATGAATCCTGATCTTTGGCTCTAACCTTGGTACCCAGGGGCCATCAATATCTCTTAGCATCTCAGATATCAGGGGCTTTCAGCAGGAGTCCTGACCTATTCCATCTCTTACTCATCCCTCCTCTTTGGGGGTACCTCCCAATATTTGGTTTTGTTGGGTGTTCTGGTTTTGCTGTTATTTTTACCTAGTCTGTCCCTGTCACCTCCATCCCTGAGAAAGGGTCTCCAGAATGCCAACCTCCCACCCCACAAAAAAGGCAAGTGCTGACCCAGGACCCCATAGTTCCCAGCCTGCCCCCAGACCCTGCTCTGTGCTGGTCTCCCCAGGACCTTCACAGCCCCCAGTGAGGTCTGAGCTTGATGCCCCGGTCAGCAGCCCATGTGGGACCACTGCCCATGCCAGGGCCCAACCGAGCTGCTCACTCTGGTGCTGTCTCCCTGTTGTGTCTCCCATCACCTTCCCTGTTGCACCTGCCCCTCCCTGCCCCGCCCCGGAGTCATGCCCTCTAGCCCCCCGCTGGCTGCTGCCTCCTCCATGTCCCTCCCGGCCGCTGCCCCCACCACCAGCGTCTTCTCCTTCTCGCCTGTCAACATGATCTCCGCTGTCAAACAGAGGAGCGCCTTTGCCCCCGTGCTGCGCCCACCCAGCTCCCCACCCCAGGCCTGCCCCAGAGCCCATGGAGAGGGGCTTCCAGGTGAGTGGCCCATGCTCCCCACTACGGCCTGGTGGAGCAGCTAGGTGCAAAGGTCTTACTCCATCCACATCTCACCAGAGCCTCATGCTGTTGACCAGTTCTCCCTGGAGGGTACAGAACAGAGAGCCCTGCAGGGGTCCAAGGAGATCCATCTGGATCCTGCTTCCTGGGCCTCCTAGCTTGGGTGGTCACCACTCTGGATACTGTCAAGTGGCCACTTGGCCAAAGACAAGACTCAAGTCCCAGTTGGAGAAGGTCTGGAAACCATTCCAAGGCCCCACCCCTGTCCACTTAAACCCAGAGATTCAACACTCAGAGCTGAAGGAACCCCCCTGTATGCCTTTGACCTCTGCCTCCCTGTGTCCACTGGAGGCCAGCACACACCACTGTAAGAGACTGGGTGGGTCACTTGCTGGCTGGAAGGGGACTGACCTTAAATAAGGTTTAGGCCAGCTTCCCCTACCCGCTATTTTACAAATAGGGAACTGAGACCATATCACCCCTCTATGTGCCATTAGTGAAGTGATTGTCATTTGCCATTTATCACTCTCCTTCAACTCAACATCCAACTTAACAAAGCCCCTGACTATCTGCAGTGCTGGCCCAGTCCAGAGCTAGGGTGGCTGACTACCTTTTGGAATCTTGAAGGTGCTATATACCCTACATGCTGTCCCCAGCCGAGACAGGAACAGCCAGGTAGGGTCCCCAGTCTACACATGGCTTATGGCTCCTCTCCTTGGTTACCACAGACCAGCCTTTTGAGGATTCCGACAAGTTCCACTCTCCAGCCCGGGGGCTTCAGGGCTTGGCCTACTCCTAATTACGGTAGGTCTCTGGATGGGTCTTGCTTCCTCCCCCAGGCCCTGGATGGGCTCTCTCTCCAAAAGACCTTAGCAAGGATAGGGAACTAGGGTCAAATCGCCCTCTCCAGGGCCCATCAAGACAGCTGTTGGGGCCACATCGCTCACTCCAGTGGCGCACGCTGAACAAGTGGATAAAAATGGCTTCCTGTTCCCTTGCAGCCTCCTCCAGAACCTTCTCTCCCTCTTCCGACCAGGTGTGCAGGTGTTGCCCCCAGATGGAGGTTCTTCTGGAATTCACACCCACGCCCTGGATGGCAGCACAGACAGATGCAGGGCCAAGGCTGTGGGCAGACCTCAACCCAGGGCCTGATAAGGGAGAGGCCTTTCTCCCTGTGTTCAAGGCCCCCCGCTTCACTGGCTTATCTCACCTCCCTTTCTTGGGGCTGGTCAGAAGCCTCAGCACTGTGCCGATGCTCTTGGCGGGAGAGCATCCAACGGAGGCACTGAGATGCTGGGCCTCACTCACTGGGTCAGTTCCTCTAGAAGAGATGGACTTTGTGCAGACCAGGGGCATCGGGTGACAGGAGCACAGGATGGGGACCATGGGGAAAAGGACAGCTCAGGGAGAGGTGGCCTGGGAAGGCCCTGTTTGTGTCTGACTCATCTTAATCCGCCCAGCATCTCAACTTCTCTCCAGCTCAAGGGGTGGTGCCCAGCAGCCTCAGGAGGCCTGCCCAGGCTCCCATGGAGCTGCCATCAGCTGCTTGACCCCGTGGCTGCCCCATGCCCTTTGAGGCCTGCACACTCATGCTTGCTACATCATGAATCTCAGTGGGAGCTTTGGGCATGGAGGATGCAGAAAAGGGGGTCTTACCCCCAGTGGATGTCTCATGAACTCTGGCCCCACCCCTACATGACTCTGGCTGGCTCCATAGAACCATGGAATAGGCCCAGTTGCCATTGGCCTCATATTCTGCTCTACTGAGGTTGAAGAAACAACAATAAATAGATGCAGGTGGCCACCTGGCCTCTCTTGCCTGCTTCCTTGGTGTGGGTCTGCTTTTCTCAGTGGGTGGTGTAGCATTTGTGGGGCCTCTCCAAAACATGCCCTTGTGCAACCTTCTTTCACTTTGTGCTTATTCAACAGCCCTAGAGTTCAACTGAGCAAGTATTCCCTGCCCCATGGCCACCCTCAGGTACTGTTGGAGGGCAGGTTGGGGGGTGGGGTTGGGGGAGCAGGCAGGCTAGCAGGCCTGAGGACCCAGGATATGGGCTCAGCCCCAAGAACTCTGACTGGGAGTACAGTTTGGCCACTTAGGACTCAGTCCCCCAGCTGTCTGACCAGGACTAAGGTGGGGTTGTCAGAGGATTTTCTGGAAACCAGATAGAGCAAGCTAAACAACACCCAGATGTACAGAGGCTCAAAATTGAGATTGTTCTGGAACAGAGGCTGCACAGCCTCACCTGCGCTGGGCAGAGCAGCTTTGGCTCCGGAGGCTGCCCATCTGAATGAGTCCCAACTCACACCCCTCCTCTTCTGCCTGAGCACCTTCTGGCTCTCCTGTCTCAGAGTTTGGGAAGAATGGTAATAAAGAGGCAATATTCCTGTGCTTATTTCCCCCTTCCTGGGATGAATCCCTGTCATCCCCCTGAGGTGTGTCCCCTACATCCCAAAGGTCTAGCCATCTGGCCCTGGAAGCTACTTCTTTGACCCACTGTCCAGGGAGCCCAGTGTCCAGCCCCAGGCCTCAGGCTTTCCTCTCCTGGTAACACCTCTTGACTCTGGCCTCTGGAAACGGGGTACTTCCCCAGTCCATGTGCCCGTGCCCGTAGCCCTGTGGAGAAATACACTTGCCAGGGTAGTTGGGCTGGTTCTGTTCTTCAGAGGCCTCTAATTCCTTCTTTTGTGTTCTTGGCCAATACCTGGATTCATCTCACTCAGGACCCCTGACGGGTAATCTTCTGGTCATGCTTCCATATTCTCCATGTTCACCCGGCCCCCTGCTCAGTTCCTGCGTCCAGCCTTTTCAATAAATGGCATTCAGCCAATATTCATATGAAGAATTAAAGTTGACCTCTACCTCACAGCATACACAAAAATCAATTCCATGTAGATTGTAAAAGCTAAAACAATAAAGCTTTGTTTTGTTCCTGATCTCAGAAGGCAAACTTAACATTTCACTGTTAGGTATCATGTTTGGTTTTATAGACATCATCCTATTCCTAATTTTCTTCTAAAAATTTGAAATTATGAATAGATGCCAAATCTTAAAGAATGCTTTTCTGCATATATTGATATAGTCATATGACTTTCTCCATTATTTTGTTAGTATGCTGAATTACATTCATTATATGTCAATGTTAAACCATTGCATTAATTGTCTAATGTGTTCAATGATAAACCCTTGTATGTCCTTTTCCCAGGATATACTGTTTTTAACTTGCAGCCCATTCTTTCTCTCTTTCCTTCTCTCTTTGTACTACTCTCCTAGAAGGCACCCATTGGCCCTCACCTTCCCCACTTCTCCTGAAGAAGCCAGGCTTCTAGAAAACCATGCAGAGATCTGCAGACCACCTCAGTACTTCACGCTGCCATGCGACCTGGGAGGAGGGGAGGGAGGAACAAGAACAAACAAATTAGTCTCCAAGTCATTCTACCTCAGTTAATAACCTTGTCTCCCAGCTAGAGTGTTAGTTCTGGGTCCCCTCTGTTGGTGTTCAGAAAAGTCTTTGTGAGCCAGAAACTCCTGCCACCACTCACTTCCCAAAGCCTTGGCAGGAGAACACGGAGTGGCAGCCCCTGGGGGAGGGGAGGGCTTAGAGCTGCAGGGATGGCCCGGGGGTCGCTGGGAGGGCTCTGAGTGCACAGACAGCCCTACTGGAGACAGGCTGGAAAAGACCTCATGACTCTTAATGGTGTAGAAGAGGCTTTCCAGAAGGGTAGTAACAGAAATAAGTATTTTTCACACATTCCTGTAGGCTATTTTATTCCTTGAGAGAGGAGCCAAGTGTTTAAAAGGGGAAGGAAAAACGTCATCAAGGAACAAGTCTGTTGATCCTTGGGGCCCAGCATCCCGGCATCTTGGTTCTCCAAAGCCTTTCCTCCCTGACTGCTGGCCAGCCCGGGAGTGGAGGCTGCTCCTAATGCACCCTTGGCTGTGCAGTGGACCCAAAAGTTGGGCTGCCAGAGCCCCTGGGCTGAGCTGGGCAAGCTGCTGGGCTGCTGAGTTAGGGGAGGTGTGGTTGTCTTACCATGGCAGGGTGGTAAAGGGCCGTCACCTGGCAGTGTGGCCAAGGGCCACTCCATAGTTGGGCAGCCATCCATGAGTCCAGGAAAGCCCTCTCTCTGGCCTGGGTCCATCCCTGCTGCCTCTCGGGGTTCCACCCACCTGAGAACTGGCCCCCCTCCACACATCTGCCCACTCACCCAGAGTTTGAGTCTACCTTCTGGTGGGTGGAGAAGGGTCTGGCCACTTTCAGGCTGGTATGGACTCAAGCCCAGCCAGCTTTGGCTTCTGTGGTAAAAGCTGGTTTGTCCGGGCTGCTCCCTAGGCCCTTCTTGGAGCTGGGCCTAGAGACCAACTTGCCAAGACAAATTGTGGCTGCCCGGTGGAATGTGGTGGAGTGGCTGCTAAGCAGGCCCAAACCTGTCAGGCCTGTCAATAGTGCTCCTGCCAGTTCCATGGCACAAAGCCCTACAGGGTCGCCAGGGTGAGGCCGGGTCAAAAGCAGGCATCAAGAGACAGCAGGGTACCCCCCTGTGCCCTTTGTTGAGTAAGATATGGGTATCCCTTCTCAGGGTCTCACCTGAAAACCAAAAATCCATAATCAAGCCTCAACGTTGACAGAATTCCTCCAAACCCACTTCCTCAGGGCAGCAGCTCAGTAGCAGGAGTGGGGGAGGTGGGACTGCAGGGAAATATGGGTACCTGTGTCTGTGTGCAGTGGGGGCTGCCAGGGCAGGAGAAAGAGCCCAGCAAGGTCTCCACTTCCCTTAACAGCCCAGTATGAGGGGGCTACATTGCCACTGGATCCCCCATTTATTCAGCACTTGCCAGAAGCACATTCTCATAGGTGGGATTCCCTAGAACAGAGCCTGAAAGGGGGATTTAGGTGCATAACAAAGTGCTTTCTGGAAGCAAAAAGGTGAGGAAGGCAGGACAGGGCAGGGGCAAGAGCTAAGCAACTGCAAGCATGGTCTCAGCAGGAGTCCAGCTTGATTCCTTGGGGAGCTCTAGCGCATAGATGGCACCTCAGTTGGACCTTTTAATAGCAAGGAGATGGTTATACCACTGTGCCAGTCAGTCACTGGCTGCAGGATGCTAGGGTGGGGTGGAGCAAGGAACGCTGAGTGGAGCAGCTCCCATCTGGCCAGGAGCAGTACTTGGGGCAAGGGCGCAGCTGTGAGCTGTTCGCAGCCAACACTCCCCACAGTTAGGGGATGGGTGCACTGGCTGGTAAGGAGGACCTAGGTGGGCCACTAAGGCCCCCAAAATACCCATCTCCCGGGCGCCTTGAGAACAGGCTAGGCCTTCCTTTCTGGCACTGTTACTTCTTGAGTGTCAAGGATTTCCCTTCTGTTTCAAGCAGGGCTTACAGGGAGTGTCCTGGGCTGAGGACAAAGGGTGGGGATCAGAAGCTCAGCAGAGCTCTGCAGGGTCTGGCGGCCACAGAGCCAGTGGAACCGTGGACTCAAGTGCTCACTTCTTGGATGATGGGTAGTGTCTACACTGGCTCTGTTGACCCTTGAATGATCACCAGTAGTGTCTACACTGGCTCTGCTGACCCAGAGCTCCCCAGTCCTTGCCACAGCTGTCTCTGAAAGCTGACCCTCCCTCTTGGGCCTGTCCTTCTCCCCCTCCCCACTCCAGGCTGGGCCCTGTTTCCCTTCTCCTCTGCCTTCCAGATCAGGTGACCCTCTGCCAGGTCCCCTAGGTAGGGGGGAAGGGTGGCAGTCTTGCCGATCTGGTCCCTCTTGTCTCTTTCCAAGATATCTTGGCATCAGCTCCTGCTTCCCTTGAGTCTTCCCTTTTGATACTCAAGAGCCAATTTCCAAAAAACAAACAACACTGAGCCTGCTCTGTCCCGCCCTCTGAATTGCTGAGTGAGCAGTCCTAATTCCTCGGGCAGTGGATCCTACTGACTGACTGGGGGAGGGTCACTAAATGAGAAAAGACAGGAGGAAAGTTCAGAGGGATGGGGTGCAGCATCCAGAGGGTAAAGAGAGCAGTAGGCTGAGGGGGAGCCTGCGAAGGAGGCATTCAACAGGGAGCTGACAGAGGGAGTTAGGAAAAAATAAAGGACACAAACAGAAAGCACTTTATGCGTCAAAACAAACAAGAGCGGCAGACACCCCCACTTCTGAGAAGCTGAAAGCAGATGTGCTTTTCCCTATTCTTTCTGCTAAGTAGAGCTGAAAGCCCTGGACATTATACATAAAACAAACATTAAAAGACTCTGAACAGTAAAGAAAAGGAGGCAGATTATCTGGAGACCTCAATATCTGAGGAAACACATGGCAGTGAGTTCCCTGGGTCTGCTTTTTACCCCGTAGATCCCAGATCTGGAACTGAAGGAGCTGGCAACCCAGAAATGCCAATGGGTGCCAACAACAGGCCCCACCAAAACCCACCCTCTAGCCAAGGAGCAATCTGGTAAGACAAACTGTTAGACAAAAAAGTTTCTACTACAGCCAAACCCCACAGAACAAACTGGGTCCCCACCGACACCAACACCCACACACTAGCAAAGCCCAGTGGGGAGCCTAAACTGCCAGCCTCTCGAGGCTGCCCTGAGGTACCCAACATCCCCAGCCCCCCAAGTGCTGTCAGAGGAGGCCAAGCAGCCCAGTGGATCCCCACTGCTGAATTTCCCATGTAGGGAGCAGCCACTGACTCCCACAGCAAGCAGCCTGCACCTTAGCATGCCTCATGCTGTTCTAACCAGCCCCCCTCTTGGCTGGAAGCCCCAGGAGGTTGGGTGGACACTGACTACCCTCCACCCCTTGCACCCTTGCCCTGAGCAGGCACCCACAGAATGTTCAGAGCACAGTGATGGCACCTGCTACAGAAGTCAATGGATTAACAAAATGAGTGCTCTGCTCAAGAACCCACATGGGATCCTCTTTCCACACTATTTCTCCCAAAGTCAACTGATGAGACTGCAAGTGTGTGCAGAATAGGATCAGGGAGGAGGGGAAAGCTGGGGCCCAGCCCAGGGGGAGGACCTGGGACCTAGAGACCACAGGAAGATGAGCTGAGGTGCCAAGTAGCTTTAATGAGCTGGAGCACCTCTTCCCTCACTTGGTTCCTGCCTCCCACTCTCAACGCACCATCCCCCATTCAGTTCTGGACAGGTCCAGCCTGCCCAAGCCTCTGGGACTCTTCAGCTGGAGGTGTTAGTTCTTCTGTCCCCTCAGCCGCTCCAGCCGCCTCCGAAGGTCTGGGGGCAGCTTGGCCCCAGCTGCCAGCAGCTCTCGTAGTCTCTGTTTGGGAGTCTTGGTGAGGCGGAAATTGCAGGGCACAGGGCCCTCTTCAAAGGTGACCCGGCAGCTCCGCGTTGCTGTGTTGTAGCCCTCAGCACTAGCGGTCACCAGATAGTCCCCGGGGGTCAGCAGGCGCCAGTAATCCCCAGCCCATGCTGAGCAGAGTGAAGGACAAGATCAGGGTCCAGCAATCTTCAGCTCCTGACCAAGCCTAAAGGCCTCCTGTACCTCCATCCCACCCCCCACCACACACACCTGTTGTCACATCATGGTTAATCCCATCCACGGCAATGACAGCATCCGCAATCCCAAGCTCTGTATCCTTGTCCCGCACAACCCCTGAAATGCCCATGCGCACCTGTGTGGGAAAAGGTTCTCAAAAGCCTTTCCCCTTCAGCACGAGGGTGTGACCTGCAGTTCCCCTGCTGGCTCTGACCCCCTGACAATACTCTGGTAAAAGTATCTCCTGGTTGATACACTGCATCTGGACTATAAATACTTACATATTTTTATAAATATAAAAACTGCACCCTATAGATACTTGGCAGAAAGGCACATCTTTAGGATTCCCCCGGTTGTGTGACCCTTGTTATTGGGCTTGTCATTTTAGAACCCTTGGAGACTATACCTATGGAGCCACTACAAGGCACATAAATTCCTGTGGAACATGAAGCGGCTATGCCAGGGCACCTCCTGCACTGGCATAATTAAGTTTTTTAAGAACATTTTTTAAGAACAGCTCTCCTGCACATGAGTTGGATGGCCCCACGGATCACTGCCCAGATGGCTATGGGGTCTACTCTTAGCTAACAATGTCTGCACCACCCTGCTGGCACGTGCATCCCATCCTATATCCCTGAGGCAGTCTGATGCCATTGTGCCCCATGGCATCTGTGCACTGGCATGTTCATTGGGACCTCAGGTGACACCCCTCATGGGAGCTGCAACCTACATGGACTAGACCAGTCAGGAGTGCCTCAGGCAGGCTGGGGCTAGGGGACTCGGTTCCAACCTGTTCTAGGTAGGTGAGGAGGGCATCTTTATTGTTCTCCCATTCCTGGGGCAGCTCATTCTCATGAGGGAACTTGTCACAGGAAAGCTCCACAGTGACCTCAAAGCAGTTGGTGTGTAGGTAGCTGAAGTCATTCATGCCTGGGGGTACCACAGACACTGGTGCCTAAGGGGCTGGTGGGATGGGAGCCTCACCCTCCTGGCACCCTCCTCTAGGAGATTCTTCCCGGTGGGAATGGACATCACCACTGTGACAGCACACTTATTGGGGCAGGGTTTGGGGACAGGGCCAACTCCACCCTTGGACACATACTCCCAGGGACTGTGTGCCAGTCAGCCCCATTGATGACATTTCCATGCAAGGAGAAGTCCTGGCTGTGGCAGGGTCGGCGATCTGGATCCTGCATGGCCCGATTAGTGCCAGCATAGACAGTGCTGAGCCAGCGGAACACGGCATCATCTGGCGTGGGCGTGAGTTCTCGGGCAGCCCATGGGGTCCGAGTCATGTCGAATGGGTAGGACACCACAAGTTCACCCCCATGGAGGTTGGCACTCAGCACAAAGGGGATCCGCTTCATCCACTCAATCACTGCCCGAGTTTCAGGAGCCACCTGGACAGGGGCAGGTCAGGAGGGGCAGGAGACAGAGACAAGGGCCCCCAGAGTGGCCCTCCACCGCTATCCCCAGAATAGAATACTCACAGTGGCATTGGGCAGAGTGTAATAAGTGGGCAGTGGCAGGTGATGGTTGGGGACACTGTCAGGTACCAGCCCATCATCCTCAGCTTCCCACAGTGGTGTGTTGAGATCAGCAAAATTATGGTTAAGGTCAATGCCCTGCTGGTTCCAGCGGCCCTCTGCCCAGCCCACCAGCTCCGAGCCCTGCCAGGGAAGGGGCTTGTTCAACCCAAGCAGGCTCAGGGCACCAGGGCAGAGGGAGCAGGTGGCATTCGTGCCAAGAGGCCTACCCGGCGGAAGGCAGTCTCATAACCATCAGGGTTCATGGAGGGCAGCAGGTG